TATTTGAGGCTGAGGACCCCCCGGGTGAGTGTCTGGTTGACTGAGGACAGCCGAGTCTATGGTGAAAATGTGAACTGGGACAAGGGAGAAGCTCTGGCTGCTGGACTCACCTCCACTGTATTTTTGTGAATTTGGATAGTGTTTGGCTTGTTTAGGGGAAGTTGGGTGCTGAGGCTGCTGGTGATATGAGAAGTTTGTACTGATTGCCAAACCCACTTACAGATATAGGAATGACTGGAGGAGGGGGACTCAGGGTGAAGACAGGAAGGGAATGGCCACCCATATTGGACTGTTATGGAGTTTGGAATAAGGGGGAAAGGGGATGCAGCTGCTTCACCCCAGTGACGTTGGGCTGAGGGAGATATAGCAAGAAATGTCAAGTTGATTGTTGCAGGAGAAGGGGGATCTCCAACTTCATGGTCATCTCCACTTCAGTGACCTCATCCTGGGGACCTGATGGTTAGATTGTTGGGGTACCTGGCCTCAAGTTGTTGCTGGTTAAGGTCTATCTGCTGTGAAAGACCTGGCTGTTCTCGCAGGCTCTGCGAGACGGCAGAGGGAGGTTGAGCCCTTGCTGGATGGGATTTGTGGTTATAGGTGGTTTAGGGGGCCATTCAGGATTTCTTTTAATTTTCTATAAAGGAAAGTTAAAGATTTGGGAATAGTCAAAATCTTGTGGACTGTTTTTTGAAATATATGTAGGAGCAAACCAAGTATATGAAATTGTTTAATTGCCTCAGCATGTCTATGAATTACTTATGAATCAGGGATGGAAAAGAAAAAACTATTTCTTTCTGTATATTTGCTTTTTCTTCTCTAAATTATGCCCCAAATATGTTGACATATTGCACAAATTTAATACTAAGGTCAAGGCCCAGAGGTAAAAAATGCAGATTTGAGGCAACAGACTCTTTTTCAGTTGAATCCATGGCCTTGGGAACTAGCGAAGCCTTTCAGACAGGTCTGGGTGGGGAAGAGACCTCGGTTTGAAGAAAAGCAAAGACCTTCAGTTGCCCCTTCCATGCCCATCCGTGTGCTGGAGCTCTAGTGACAAGACAGGACAAGCATGAGAGGAAAAGAACCCAAGGGTGACGTTTCTGTTAGCCTCTAGGCAGTGGGAATTCGTGGGAGTGGGAATTCGACCTGAGCAATAATTAGGGAATCAGATTTTATAACCTTAACAGGAAATTGATTGATTTAAAACAATAAATATGTCAAACACAGTCATATTAAAAAATTTAAAAAATGGTTCAGTGTAAAATGTTTAAGATTATTCCTTAACTCAAGAGTGACCATTTCCCAGTCTATTTATGCCTGAAATTCATTGTCCAGCAAACATATTTTCCTCCAGGTGTGCAATAAATGGTCCTTCCAGGTGGACAAATTCTAGTACATGGTTTTCTCCCTTTTACCATCAGTCTTATTTAATCTTAGAGAGCTATGATAATTTAGTGCGGAAGTTAAAAACATTCCAGAAAAATAGTGATCAACATAAATAGTACCAGTGTGATTCCAAGCCATGGCCTGATTCAGTGGAAGTTTAGAAAATATTTATTGCCAATTAGATGGTTCATGAAATTAAAACAAATATTAATATCATTGCATAATATGCATCAAGACCTTTCTGATCTAGCCAACTCTGGAAGTGTTTAAAAAGAAAACAATTGGGAAAAACTTTCCAGTCTCCTTGGCTGGTCCACGGAGGAATAGTCTCCTGATAATGATCTGTACATGGTGTTTATGTACACCAGGGATCAAAATGTCATGACATGGTTCTCCTTATAATTATCGAAAAGACATGGCAACTAAGAAGATGATGCTGAACAGAGTTTGTTGGAGAAAGCAGGTGGCTTGCCTTGGTTGTCCAATGGAGGGCAAGAAGCAAAGCAGGAGGGAGACCAGGAGGATGTAAGAGAGGTCCTGATTGTTGGCTTTGACGATGGGAGTTCCTTGGTTTTTAATGAATATGATTAAAACAAAGCCTGTGGTTAAGGACAAGAATAGGGCAAAGGAAACTAGGATGTTCCCCAGATGTTCCTCATAGGACAGGATGGTTATTCTTCTGGGGATACATTGGACTCAGTTCTGGTTTGGATACTGATCATCTGGGCACTTGGTGCATTTTTCTATTACTTATCGTCTCTCCTTTCACATTTCAAGAAAGACCTTCTTTGGATGACAGCTGATAGTGAGAGGCAGGAAAGCCATAATAAGTGGTAAACAGAAGTCTGCATATATGTATTTAAAATATTTGTCTAGCTGCCCATTGAAACCAAGCTTTGGGCAGCTTACCACTCAGCAACCCCTGCCCCCCGATATATACAACTATAAAAACAACAAAAAATTATACCCAAAAGAGAAATACCTAGTGCCACAACCACCCCTCACTGATGCGACCCACCACATTCTCATCCTGCACTGACCTCACCCTATCCCAGTGCTTGAGGGAGAACCAGGTCTCCAGAAAGTTAGAAGGGTGGGAGCCTGTTGGATCTCAAGGTGGAGGGTGTTTCATAGGGCAGGGGCTGCAATGGAAAAGGTATGCTTCCAAGGACTCACAAGGTGGCAATGTTTTAGGGAAGGGACCTGAAGCGTGCCTATTCTACCCAAGTAGGTATCCTCAGGGAGAGGAAGGCCCACAGATAACCTGGTCCCATGCCATGTAGGGCTTTAAAGGTGATTACCAGCAACTTGAATTGCACTTGGAGAGAAACTGGGAGCCTGTGCAGCTCACACAACAGGCGTGTAATATGGTTGAACACAGGGGCACTGAAGCCTGTGCATGCCATTGCATTCTGGACCATTTGTAAATTCCAGGTGGTCTTCAAGGGCAACCCCATGTAGAGTGCATTGCAGTAATTCGAACAGGAAGTGACCAAGGACCTTTCCAGTCCAGGAAAGGGCACTGCTGGTGCACAAGAACAATATGCGTGAAGACTCCACCCTAGCCATGGCTGCCATCTGCTCATCAAGCAGTACTGATGAGGACCCCCAAATTGTGTACCACCTCCATCTGGGAGAGTGCCACCCCATCCAGAGTCAGAGATGGCTTATCACTAGACCCTGGGGGGTTAAAAACTGAAAGCCACTCTGTCTTGCCAGGGTTGAGTCGAAGACTGTTCCTTCCCATTCAGATCCACAGAGTCTCCAGGCACTTAGCCTGCACAACAGCACTACCTGCCTGGCCATGGGTGGCATGCTGATGATATCACACCTTGTGCTGGCAAATGACCTCACCTAGCAGTTTAATGTAAATGTTAAAGAGGAAAGGAGAGAGACTCAAGCCCTGAGAGACGCCCCATTGTAGGGGCCTAGGGCCCGACCTCTGGCCCCACCAATACCAACTGAAACAGGCCGTGAAGAAAGGAGAACTGTTGCAGAACAGTGCCTTCCACTCCCAATCCCTGAAGCTGGTCCAGGATACCATGGTTGATGGCATCAAAAGCCACTGAGAGATTCCGATAGGCCAGGATAGTTGCACCACCCCCATCCGGAGCTCTTCATAGGTCATCTGCAAGCACAACCAAGGCTGTCTCGGTACTGTATCCTGGCCGTCAGCCTGGGTACTGTACCTGAGCATCACCATGCTCTTAACAAACTTCCCTAAAAATGTTGGACACTGGATGATAGTTGTCTATCATGGTTGGGTCCATGGAGAGCCTCTTGAGAAAGGGCTGCATTACTGCCTCCACTACTGCATTAACTACCCCCAAGGTGAGATTAGCCCCAACCCTTGAGGTCTTCTGGAAATCCCTTAAAAAGTGGTTCTTTCAACAGGTCTGAGGATCCCCTGATAACAGGGAACCTGTGTGTTGGTTGCATCATGTGTAACATCTTGATGTAGTCCCCTCGTGATCTTGGTTTTTTTGTTTCATTGTTTAAATCTGGTTTTGTAAAATGTTTTGCTGTTGGTTTTATTGTATGCCACCCAGAGTTGCTTTGTGTGAGATGGGCAGCCATATAAATTTGATAAATAATTTTTTGTAAACAAAAAGATCTTAAGGAAGACTAATTCTTAAGGTGATTAAAGAAGAGAATATGAGTCTGTTACCTGCCTTTGCAAAGTCTTTAGGTTCTAAAAATAAGAAGATGAAGCAATATATTTCCATACTCTCTAGATCTGGTAACAGCTTTAAAGACTGAATGAGTTCCACATTGGTATAAATGGATATAATTTTTTAAATTCGTTTCCTTTTCCCCCTCCTTTTTGTTAGGTCTGGTTTCTTTTAATCCCAACAGTGTGTCTAGGGCTTTTTTTCTTTTAGAACCATTACTGTATTTATTTTTGTTGGTGTTGTAGTTGTTTGTATTTCACTATTTAATAACAAAGAAAGTTAGAAAGATAAGAAGTGGGGAGGCCCAGTATCAATCATACCAAGAAATCCATGATGGTAGTTATGCTGAACCTAGGACTGTTGAACTGGACTCTAAACAATATTTGCATTTTACCTCTTAATTCATAACATGGACATTGGAGAGGAAAGAGGTAGAGATTTTTATCCCTAATAATTGTAAATTTAGTTTACATTCCTTGTCTCATACTGATATTCTCTTGATGGATTTTATGGCAAGTTCTCAATTTATTTTCTCTTATTCCTGTACCCAATAGCTCTCCCTCCATGGTCCTCCCAATTAGATCTTTCTGCTTATGTGGCTCTATGAACTTCATAAAGATTAATTGATTGATTGATATATCTTTTGGCCTGTAATTTAAAGTTGGTTTGGGTGAGAAAAAGCCATTGACAGCTTCCAGTGAGGGCTATGGCAGACTAAATGTCTTCGAAGGAGCAGAGATGGTATTGCAGTGGAGATAGGCATCCAGAGGGCCAACGCTGGACACTGAAATCTCTCTAGTTCTTTCCTCTGGCAGAAGTAAATATTGCCTAATCCACCATGTCCTTCTATCTCTTCCTACCTCATCCTTCAAGATCTTTTTCTTATTCCTCCCATTATGGAAGAAATTGGTATGTTGAAAATAAACAACAAAATAGTCAAGCTTAGATGTGTCTTTTAATATGCACCTCCATCAAAATGCTCTGGATAAATCCAATACCCTTTCCTCCGATGTCACCCACCTTCCTGAGTGGAGATGATCCCCTCCGGACAAAGAACAGAGTCATAGCAGCAAACTGGCTCTCCTTCCCAAGCCTGCTCAATAAATCCAGGATGACAATTTTCCCCACATTTGGACTGAGGCAGAGACTAAACAGAAAAACAAGGAATGCCAAAGAAAATGTGTTAGGACTAATCATCCATGGAAAATGGAGGTAGACATTAACATTAGCCAAGGTAGTCTCTGGGCTTGACTTAGGTAAATATGAAATCTCTTAGTCCCAGACGGTTGTAACAGACACAACTACTTGCAGATTCTTCATTTAGTTCTTCCCTTTTGCTTCTGGCATATCACATTGCAATGAAGTACTTTTCTACTTGATAAAGTCTTGAGGGGTGGAACTGAGATAAGGCATGTGTCAGAGTTTTAACCATACTATGTCCAGTATAACCATGTGTCCAGTTAACCATGTGTCCAGGCATGTGTCAGAGTTTTAACCATACTATAAACACAGTGGACATTTGCAAACCAGTCCCTGTCCCTTTCCTCTCGGGTCTCCAGTGGCTCTTTCTTCTCTGGCCATTGATAGAAAAGATGTGCTTTGAAAAAGAACAGTCAAAAGCCTTATCTTCAAACTGTCTGCTCACAAAGAAAATAGGTTGAAAAGCATAATCTTTTGGCCCTTTTTTTCCTGGAAAGCAAAGGTCCAAATGTTCTGGACATATTTAGAAGTTTCCTTACTTATCATAGGTAAAACCCACAAAGCTGTGGTGATACAGATTTTCTCTTCAGTGGGTCCTGGCTATTTTTCAAGTGTCCAATGTACAGGGGCAACTCCATCTATGAGGCTGCCAATTTCTATAAAGTAAACAAAGATATTGACTTGTCTCCACTTAGAGAGGACATCAGGGCAAATTTTGTAAATGTATTTCTTGGGAACCGTTGCAATACAACAACAAAAATTCCATTCCTCACAAGCACAGGAGTGAATTCCTGATGAAATTCTCTGTCTGAAGCAAAGAGACCAATCAAGGCTTTCCTCCATAGAGAAGTTTGACAGTTGCTGGGTGCTGGATTCCTTCTTTGGGGACCATCCAGTAGAAAAAAGGAAATTGAGTTTTATCATTCAGAGCCTCTGAAATAATTTTATAATTGATCTAAAAAAGAAATGAAGAATGCTCTGTTATATATGGGATCAGATCAAACCCAAAATATTAGTTTTTAATAAATCCAACTAGGTTCTCATGAACGTATTTGGGTAAAAAATAGTTAACATGTTGGGTACTATACTTGTAATTTTTTTTATAAAGTGGTTAATTAATGTTAGTGGTCACTATGAGTCCATAAGACATATATATGTAGGTAAAATAATCCATTGGGATTCTTTTCACGAATCTGGGATTTGTTCACCATCGAAAATATCATTATTTTGGCTAAGATCATGGATAAAATATTAGTATCTGATCTCTGTTGCACCTTCCTTTTGTACAGAACACCCTTTGATTGGACAAAGAACCTCTCCTCACCTTCACAAGTGTGCAGCAGAAGCCCCAAAAGTAATGGGGATGGTATCATGAGAGGATATGGCTGCTTTGATCCTTGCTTCTCCCCAGAGTGGACCCCAATCCATAGCCCTGACACCTACAATGGCCATGGTGAAAAGCAGTCCTTAAATTCTATGCAAGTTATGACCGGATCTATCACTCACCTACCACCACGCCACTCACTTTGTCAGATAGAGAAACACACACACAAACCTACAGGATGTTGTAGGTTCCACCACAGTGGACATCTGGATGGAGATGTCATTGTCAGCTCCATCAAGAAGAGCCAAGGGGTTGTCCTTCCTTCCATAGCTGTAGTTGGGAACATTGGCTTCTCCAGCAGACAGCATGTCTAGCAAGGCATGTGAAGTCACAAGGGTGTTCATATAGTTGTCTTGGATGTTGTAGCCAAGAGTGAGATTGTACAATTGCTGGGAATCCTTGTTGACCACTTGAATGGCGAAAATGGGCAGGATTCTTGAATGATCAGTAAATAATGTACAGTAAAAAATGTGCATGTCATTATCATCATTTAACTATCAACAACAGCAACAACAAAATGCAGCAGCAACAATTATCAAATGCATTCCTCTTTGACTCCACAAGCCTATTGAGTCTTAAGCCAATAGTGATATAAAACTAGAGACAAATTAGCAGCACTTCCAGTGAGCTGCAATGGCGAACTGATGTTCCTCTAAAAGAGAAGAACACATTGCGGCCAAAATGGCGCCCAACTGCAGGAATTGGGCTGCTAAAATCCCTCTGGAGTTAAAGAGAGATCATCAGATAACCCACGTGTACTTGGTACAGCTGTTTTTTCTGTGAAAGGATGGCAGGATCTACATTTTTGCAGTCGGCTTGCAATCAGCTGGGAGTTGTGGGATTCCAATGTGCTTATATCTGCTAATGTTGCCTATATGGACTCTGCTTGACTGAGGCTCATCTCTTAAATGGAATTTAATTTTTTTTTATCTCTGGCTTTCTTTAAAGATTGAGAACGTTCAGACTGACAAGTTTTATTGAAGTCACTAGGTGAGTTTCCTTCAATCTTTTTTTTTTAAAAAAAAGTTTAACTACTTTAAGTATAAAGAACTACTATAAGATTTGTATTTTTTGGAATATACAGTAAAAGGATTAATATTGTTGGCTTTAGAAAGTTTTAAATCGATTAAGGGCTCAGATGGACTTGATTTATGACTCTGAAGTTGATTGAAAGGCTCCTTCTTTTTCACTGGAAAATACTTCATTTACATTCTGAAACCAATAACACCACTGAAGATTAGACACTAGAGGGCACCAGATGGCTACCTTAAAATAAATGTATGATCTATAAAGCAATAAGAAAGTAACATTATTAAAGAAACTACAAAGAACCCACCCCTTAAAAAAAATGAAAAAATAAAGAAATATACAACTTCCTGTATATTCAACGACCCAATTGCCAGTACCAGTTGTGGTCATTAAGCACAGACTACCTGTACTAACTAGAGTGAAAGTGCTATCTGAAATGAATTAACAAAACTATATTGATGATTGCTGCTTGATTATCCAGGCAGGAGCTCAAGCTATTAGTGGGAGTAATCCATTCTGGAACAAGACTGAGCCTGGCAAGTTTTATCCCTGGCTTTGATTTTGGGAACACCAGCTGACAATCTCAGTGCCACTTTAGGAACGTATCTGGGTGTTTTAAAAAGGGACCTGGGACAGATTGCAGGGCGGCTGGTCAAGGAATAGAAGGGAAAGGAGATAATATAGGATGGGTCAATTGCCCCTGACAGCTTATTCCTAAAAAGTAACTTGGAAAAAGGCATCTCCAATCATTCAGAGATGTTGCTTATAATTAATTAATTAATTATAAATGAGGGTGTGAAATTCCTCTTAAAATTTCCAAGATCCTCTACTTATTCTAGACTAGCATTAAAAATACTTTAAGGAAAGCTTTGCAGTTGTTGCTTCCTTGATCTTCTTGAGCAGCTGGAGGGTCTTTTCCAGCTCCTGCGTCTGCTGGGCGTTGTCCCTCCATCTTTGTTCTCTAATCCAAAATGGGCCAGTGGATCTCCACAGGTCTTTCTATTCACAAGGCCTGAACTTCATGAAGAGGTCTTGGACAAGTCTCCCAAGGCCATTCAGCCCTCTTCACTTAGAAGATACCTTAGTCTCCAGAGGAAGCACGAAAGATTTCCAGCTTACATATCTGAAATGGAAAAGAAACTTCCAGAAACACAGGGTGACTAACGTAACTACTGAGCATCCTCCACCAAAGAAAAAACCAAAATAAGAAAGTCTTATGAACCCACCAATGTCTGGGAAGAGGGAGAGTATCTTATTAGGTAGATTGACTTATCTGCATCTGGGGGAAATTCAGGAGAACCCTTCTGGATAAACTTCTATCAAGGACTCAAAATATTGGATGAATACCTTTAAAATATGTTTTGGATTTCTATTTCCTAATTATTTATTCAAATGATTTCTATGGCTGCATACAAAGTTAAGAACAACCCTTTAAACAATCCAAACCATAAATGTCTGAGGTCACAAACAGCAATTGAGATGAGTGGCTATATAAATTGATTTAATAAGTAAATAAACATTTGAATTTATAGTAAAACATCAGCCAGCAGAACCCTATTAATCCTATTAATGGCTCCATCATTGTGGTTAATATCTACTCTCTACTGTGCCTGGTGGTTTGTATATTTTAATAATAACTGTTTTATATTTTTTAAAAAATGATTGTTGTTATATATTTATAGGTTTACTTGATTGTTGTATGCTCCCAAGAGTAACTTTTTGTGAGATGGGCAACCATATAAATTTGATAAATAAATAAAAATAAGTAAACCTCCAGGCCCAAACCCCTGGGGGAAGTCTGAATTAACAAACCACCATACAATGACTATAGAACTAATACCTGAATGAATAAACCAGCTAAGCTTAACATGATGTCTGATTCATGCGTCTCCTAGAAACACATTTCCCACTTTTTTAGCCTAATCCAGTCTTTTTCAAACTTGGCCAATTTAAGATATGTGGACCTAAAAGTGGCCATGTTTGAAAAACACCGGCCCAATCGGGCACACAGTGTGAATGCTGCACCTCAGACCCCGCTGCACCTCCATCCGTGCAACATTTTCCTTATTTGCCCAAATGGCCCCCTCCATCCTGGCGACCCGGATTCCCCCCCCCGGGGGCAACGCG